GTAAACAACAGCGGAACCAACAGAATCAAACACGTCTAACTTCATTTCGTTTAAGGAAACATTCATATACCAATTATATCATTATGACGACAATAAAACTTTTCCATAATCTTTATCAACTTGTGTCTCTCGAAACCCTGTGTTAAGTTTCTCAGTTGCGAAACCTTTGAATTTCAAAGAAAAAGCCCCATACGTTGGGAAACAGGGTGGTTGCCCTCCAGAAATGGAAAATTTACAATGGAAATTATTAAACATATTGGTATAAAGCTGTAGCAGTTGAATTTTCTATATGGATGATTAAGGGAAGTTTTTAAAAAAAAAGATTTAAAAGAGTCTGCCGTGTCATTGATTTCCAGTTAAGTAGAGTGTATACGATGAACCTAGTTTATTGTTGTATTGTAAAGACGATCTAGATTTACTTATATCAATTTTAGCAGTACATCGACATATAAATTCGCGGATTATGATTACCCATGAAATCAACCCAACAAAAATGAATCATTTTACAGTATTTTCGAAAAATATTCTGAGGAAATTCCAAAATACTTGAAAAAATGTCGTGATGTATAACTGTATATTTTCAACCGTGTCATTATTCAAATGAACAAAAAGGTCGCAGCTAGGTTGCGGTGGTTGATTAACATTTGTGAAATAATCGTAGTTTGGTTCATTACATCCGTAAAAGATAAATCCCAATGATTGTTGTTTTCGCTGTTTTAATAAACTGAAAGTGTAATAAACTATACAAATAAAGGACCATTTGGCGTGTTAATTCTGAGTTACTCTGATAATCTTCTGTGTGGAGGTTCTATGTCATAGCCGAGAAATATAAAATCTCTCATGAATACTATTTGTATTTTCTTTATCGTTTCATCATTTACGTTTTCGTAGGCACGACGCACAAACATCGCTCTTTGTTGCTTTTTCATGATATCTGTCATAGGATAAGATTCAATATAACGGAGAATTATTGACGTAATATTGTCGGCTTTGAAATCAAAACTGTTTTCAAAGAGATGTTTTGGGAACAAAGCATCTTTACTGACATGTCCTTGTATCTGTAGAGTAGCCCAGACCTTCTCCATGTGTAAAACACGAGACGGACAATCTTTCTGGTAATTGGTATAGTCTGACAAATACGAGGCAATGAGTGAATGTATCGTTTGTTTAATTCCCTTTGGACTGGTAGCTGTTTTTATTGCTGCTCTTTTGGTCTCTGTCAAGTTTACCTTATCAAGGAGGTATAGCATGTCTCTGTTTAATGATTCTTGTCTACTCAACATGTCGTATTTTATTCCGCAAATATCACAGAGGTCAGAAACTGGAATAAAATGTTCGTTCATTTTGCTACCTGCCAAAGCAGTCCTTGTGACTTTATCCAGAAACTGATAAAAGGTAACATTATAGCCACAGGTACTTCCGTCATGTTCATAGGGACCTACGCCAACAGCTTTCATAAATGATCTCCCAAGGCTTCCGAGTAGAAAATATTTATCGATAAATGCCGAAAACAACCGAGTGTAAGGGTCCCTTGTGACAAGTACTTTTGTATCGAACTCCGAGACATCGTGCTTATTAACTTGATTATGACCATGAATAGCATTTCGGTTGATATTAAATACATTTCCAGACGTTTTGGTAGATTCAATAGCCATGATCACTGCTCCCCAAAAAGAACTTCCTGCTTTCGGAACTTTACAACACGAAATATTTGTTGATTTTGATCGCAAAAATATTGGTTTTCTTCCATTTATTTGTGGAAGTGATACGTTATAACTACAGGCTTCCTTCAGATGAATCAAACGATGTGTCAGATTGTCGCCAGCGTCAAATGATGAGACTTTGTCTATCGATAAACCAGATTGTCCAATCGTAAGCCATTGGAAATGTACATTGGTTGATTCAGTTGGACCTGTTCTTTGTCTTACTGAAATTGTAAAAAAAAAATTTAAAAAAAAATGCAATATCATCGTTTTGTATTGGTATCAGAACGAGGACGTACAAGAAATGTGTAATAATATTGTAATTACGTAAAAACAATGATGGAAACACTGTAAATAGTTAATGACCATGTCACTACGGAAACACAAAAGCGGAAACACTGAAGATATTTAATAATAATGTAATTACGTAAACAAGGACGTTCTGCAAATATTTACATGAATACGGAAGCACAGCAGATATTTTTATAATTAATTGAGATTTTTGTAGATACATGAAAGCGAAAGTATTACATTTGCATACTGATAAATGGGATTTGGATAGATACACATATCTATATATCATATATGTATAGGCGAAAGCATTGTAATTGTTTAATAATGAATGAGATTTTATACTTTGAAAAAATGCATTCTGTTGCTTTAGGGCTTTACTAGAAACATCAAGAAAATACCAAAATGTCAAAAGAAAGATTAACACATGTAAAGAATGTGATAAAACGTTCTAAAACGAGAACAATGTATACAACAACGAAATGATATTACTTTAGCAACCGAAAACTTAATTTCTTATTAGCCTGCATCTTTTGAAACACTCTCTTAATAGTATGTGGGTAAGTTGACGAATTCTTGCATGTGCCACTGGGGAAAATACCTTGGATATCTAACCAAATGTGACATATATATTGTAACATAGGTTGAGAACGGAAGGATATTGCTATTCAGAACTGGAAAATTCACATTAAGGAAATTTAAATTATCACGTTTATCAGACATCTTGTAGAAAAGCTATCCATATTGGTTTCGTTTAAAGAAAAGACTGAAATAGTCAGCAGATGTAGAAGAGTCTGTCATGGTTTTGATTTTCAATTCTGTTGGGTATATATGTTACGAGTTAAATACATTTCTTAGTTTTTAAAGACAAGACGTCATCAACATATCTGGAAGTGGAATTAACCGAACTTGAAAGGTCTGTGTGACCTATTTTAATAAGCCCTTCAATAAATTCAGCCTTGTATGAAAGTAAAAGCTAGTCAGCCACAGAGGGGCGTAGTTAGTTCCCAAAGGTATGCCAACCGTCTGTTGGAAGATCTGACCATAAAACTCCACGAATATGTTGTCAACCTAAAACTCAATCATTTTTATGATTTCGTCCTCATTATATTTCATCTTTGATTTGGATCTATTGTTTTTAACGAAATACGCTCAAATAAATTTCACAGCCATATGTTTATACCGCTGTTCACCTTTCCTGGAAAAACTCTCTAAGCAAGAGAACGAAATCGTTCCTTCAGTTTAGAATGGGGTATGGTGGTGTACTGGGTTGAAATACTAAATGTTCTTATAGAAAAAATGTCTTTTAGAAGGGGTTGTTGAAGAATGGTCAAAAGCTCTCTGGAGTTCTTCAAAATCCACATACTATTTATTCCACTTTTTGAGTAAACAGTATAAAAATAACTAACCTAGATTAGAGAGTACTTGGTGGTTAGTAGTTTTGACAAAGGATTGGTTGAACAGCTAGACGAGCTAAAATAAACCTTTGAGTATAAGGAATAAGAAATATATACCATAATGAAGAGAAGAATTTCAAAATTTCCATACAATGCATCGAATTGTCCCTGTTATTTGCATTTACATGTATTTGTTTTGTTTGTTTGTTTGGTTAATCGGTTGATGAACAATTTAGGTTATTTTTTTTAGGTTATTCTGTAGCAACTTATTGCACAACATACGGGAGGCCCGTTGCATGCCGTCCAGAGGAATTAGGGAATTTTTTTGCTATGATAACCAATTGCAACGTAATCACTAACACCAGCCTCCTTTATTTCTGACCTTCTTTCTAACTTTATCTAATAACCATAACCCAAAATCAAATTCAAGAAAACTATGAACAAGATGAACAGAAGAGAAATTTGCATGGCCATTCCTGAAAGCCTGTAAAGGTACAGGGAGAATAAGACCATTTTAAAAGTTATGAATCTAGTTTCGGTTCGTTAATAGCTATGTTTCCTTTTAAAATTCTGTTTACTTTTTATGTATGTATTTATGGTCTTGTGCCGAGCAAAATAACCGATAAAAAGACCAGCAAATTTATACTTACTTGGCACTGAACTTTGTTTTCTTTCTGAAACACTCGCCAATAGAAAAGTTATTATTCCAGTCAACATCAATAGCATTAACAACGTCCGTCTGACTGGAACCTTAAAGTTTGACATCGTTCAGATGTGAATCGTTTAACACGTGTTGTATGAACTGTAGTAGTCACTGTCCTTTTCGTTTTTATTATGTTTCCAGTAAAGGTTTTCAGCTAACTGTTGTATATCAAATATTTAAAACATCGAATTTGATTGGTTGTTCATTTCATCTGTTTGTTACCGCTTGTTGCAGCTGATGAGTTATAGACCTATATGTAACAATACAAAACTTTTCTTGTGTTTGAATGTTATTGATACTTTGCATCGTTTGTTCGCCACGTGTTACCATCTGGATTTGAATTAAATACAGTACAGAGAAATAATTATTCAAATTGCGTCATACAGACGTTCTATCCTTCCAGAATGCATCATTGATGTTAAAGGCCTAAATTCTGATCGATCATATATACTACATATATATGTTGTTGAAAGAGATATTATTTTTTCATCTTGATTTTCAAATATGTTCTAAAAGTCTAACTATTAGCCCTAATTCATAATTAGAATTAATAAATATAAGTTAAATTTTGTATATACATCAATTCCACAACCGGTGAATATCTTATTTACGGGAGCTGAGTGTCACTTCAAGAACGACGGTATCGTACCACTGAGGAAATTCCAAAATACTTGAAAAAATGTCGTGATGTATAACAGTATATTTTCAACCGTGTCATTATTCAAATGAAAAAAAAAAGGTCGCAGCTAGGTTGCGGTGGTTGATTAACATTTGTGAAATAATCGTCGTTTGGTTCATTACATCCGTAAAAGATAAATCCCAATGATGGTTGTTTTCGCTGTTTTAATAAACTGAAAGTGTAATAAACTATACAAATAAAGGACCATTTGGCGTGTTAATTCTGAGTTACTCTGATAATCTTCTGTGTGGAGGTTCTATGTCATAGCCGAGAAATATGAAATCTCTCATGAATACTATCTGTATTTTCTTTATCGTTTCATCATCTACGTTTTCGTAGGCACGACGCACAAACATCGCTCTTTGTTGCTTTTTCATGATATCTGTCATAGGATGAGATTCGATATAACGGAGAATTATTGAAGTAATATTGTCGGCTTTGAAATCAAAACTGTTTTCAAAGAGATGTTTTGGGAACAAAGCATCTTTACTGACATGTCCTTGTATCTGTAGAGTAGCCCAGACCTTCTCCATGTGTAAAACACGAGACGGACAATCTTTCTGGTAAGTGGTATAGTCTGACAAATACGAGGCAATGAGTGAATGCATCTTTTGTTTAATTCCCTTTGGACTGGTAGCTGTTTTTATTGCTGCTCTTTTGGTCTCTGTCAAGTTTACCTTATCAAGGAGGTATAGCATGTCTCTGTTTAATGATTCTTGTCTACTCAACATGTCGTATTTTATTCCGCAAACATCACAGAGGTCAGAAACTGGAATAAAATGTTCGTTCATTTTGCCACCTGCCAAAGCAGTCCCTGTGACTTTATCCAGAAACTGATTAAAGGTAACATTATAGCCACAGGTACTTCCGTCATGTTCATAGGGACCTGCGCCAACAGCTTTCATAAGTGATCTCCCAAGGCTTCCGAGTAGAAAATATTTATCGATAAATGCCGAAAACAACCGAGTGTAAGGGTCCCTTGTGACAAGTACTTTTGTATCGAACTCCGAGACATCGTGCTTATTAACTTGATTATGACCATGAATAGCATTTCGGTTGATATTAAATACATTTTGAGACATATTGGTTGATTCAATAGCCATGATCACTGCTCCCCAAAAAGAACTTCCTGCTTTCGGAACTTTACAACACGAAATACTTGTTGATGTTGATCGAAAAAATACTGGTTTTCTTCCATTTATTTGTGGAAGTGATACCTTATAACTACAGGCTTCCTTCAGATGAATCAAACGATGTGTCAGATTGTCGCCAGCGTCAAATGATGAGACTTCGTCTTTCGATAAACCAGATTGTCCAATCGTAAGCCATTGGAGATGTACATTGGTTGATTCGGTTGGACCTGTTCTTTGTATTTCTTGTCTTACTGAAATTGAAAAAAAAATGCGATATCATCGTTTGGTATTGGTACCAGAACGAGAACGCAAAATAAATTTGCAATAATATTGTAATCACGTTAACACAAACGCGGAAACACTGCAAATATTTAATAAAAATGTAATTACATAAAACAATGGTTAAACACTGCAAAAGTTCATGACAATGTAATAATGTAAGCACAAAAGCGGAAACACTGAAGATATTTAATGATAATGTAATTACGTAAACACAGATGTTCTGCAAATATTTACATGAATACGGAAGCACTGCAGATATTTCATAATTAATTGAGTTTTTTTGTAGATACATGAAAACGAAAGTATTGCATTTGCATATTAATAAATTGGTTTCGGATAGATATATATATCTATATATCATATATGTATAGGCGAAAGCATTGTAATTGTTTATTAATGAATGAGATTTTATATATAGAAAATAAAACTTATAGAGAAAACGATACCAGTCTACTTTGAAAAAAATGCATTCTGTTACTTTAAGGCTTTACTAGAAACTTCAAGAAAATACCAACATGTCAGCATAACCATTACCAATACCCAAATTCCATAAGACTAGGGCAACATACTAACAAAAGAAAGAATAACACATGTAAAGAATGTGATAAAACGTTCTAAAACGAGAACAATGTATACAACAACGAAATGATATTACTTTAGCAACCGAAAACTCAATTTCTTATTAGCCTGCATCTTTTGAAACACTCTATAAATAGTATGTGGGTAAGTTGACGAATTCTTGCATGTGCCAATGGGGAAAATACCTTGGATATCGAACCAAATGTGACATATAAAGACCATAGGTTGAGAACGGTTTCGTTTAAGGAAAAGACTGAAATAGTCAGCAGATGTAGAAGAGTCTGTCATGTTTTTTATTTTCAATTCTGGTGGGTATATATGTTACGAGTTAAATACATTTCTTAGTTTTTAAAGACAAGACGTCATCAACATATCTGGAAGTGGAATTAATCGAACTTGAAAGGTCTGTGTGACCTATTTTAATAAGCCCTTCAATAAATTCAGCCTTGTATGAAAGTAAATGCTAGTCAGCCACAGAGGGGCGTAGTTAGTTCCCAAAGGTATGCCAACCGTCTGTTGGTAAGATCTTCTAGTTGACGGTTGTCGAAGTTACAGGAACTAAATGTGCCCCTCTGTTGGCTAACTTGTTTTTGTTTTCAAAACAGGTTACAAAGACCTTGCAAAGTCGCTTAAATTCACTTTCAGATATAGTAATGACGCTGAGAAACATATTTCTTTGTACGACAGATGGAAGATGGACGTGTTTGTTAGTGCTTGTAAGTTATTTGTAATATACTTGTTCTCATTCGACAACGTGACATTACAAGGCAGTTGTCATCGATGAAGCAGAAGACTGTTTCGGAACACCTGATCTTATTAGCATTTTACTTTTTCACGTGTCTCTGTGTAAATCGTTTTTTAATATTTTGCTCTACTTTAAATGAATCTGATTACGGATTATGATTGTGTTGACATGAGCAAAAATGCGTTTCAGTATTATACAAAACGTCGTGTACAATTACAAATATTTTACCTGTATCATAATAGCAAGATTTTGGAGGCAGTCCAATTTTACGTAGCTGGTATCATAACCGTTTTAAGACGGAGAAGTACCCACCAACTTCTCAATAACAACCAAAAATACCACCATGTGAACACAATCGAACCCAAAATAAAAAAGTAGGAGAAAATATTAACAAAAGTAATATTTACAGGGATACTCGTGAAATATTTCTTCGAAACATAAACTATGGTCACGAGTAAGTTGGAATGAAATATTGCTAGAACTTGAGTCAGATTCGAGGGAACTATATTTCAATCTTTATGTCATCTCTTCAAAGGAAACGAATCGGCGTTTCCAGGTGCATCATAAGGATCAACAGGTGTGCTGATAAATTTAGGGTTTGATTCAAATGATTGTACGAACGAAATTCAACTTTCAATATTAATTGAGAAAGCGACGGAGTAGCGCCAATCAAAGTTTATCATACAGTTGTTTCTTCCTTCTCGAATACGTCAGTGACATGAATATTCAAACAAAGGCGACTGAAAGTAACTTTAAACATCCTTTGTTTTGTTCTGGATTGTGATCAGAGTTTCACTACATAATCCCCATAGACATATCTACAGTTATATGTACATTGTGGCTTCACACGACTTTAGGAACAGGAAAACAGGACATACTTGTTTAAAGGTGTAAATGACAGTTTCTGGTGGAAAACACTTTCAATTTTCATACACATTGATAACTAATTGCAACGTAATCACTAACACCAGCCTCCTTTATTTCTGACCTTCTTTCTAACTTTATCTAATAACCATAACCCAAAATCAAATTCAAGAAAACTATGAACAAGATGAACAGAAGAGAAATTTGCATGGCCATTCCTGAAAGCCTGTAAAGGTACAGGGAGAATAAGACCAGTTTAAAAGTTATGAATCTAGTTTCGGTTCGTTAATAGCTATGTTTCCTTTTAAAATTCTGTTTACTTTTTATGTATGTATTTATGGTCTTGTGCCGAGCAAAATAACCGATAAAAAGACCAGCAATTTTATACTTACTTGGCACCGAACTTTTTTTTCGTTCTGAACCAATCACCAATAGAAAAGTTATTATTCCAGTCAACATCAATAGCATTAACAACGTCCGTCTGACTGGAACCTTAAAGTTTGACATCGTTCAGATGTGAATCGTTTAACACGTGTTGTATGAACTGTAGTAGTCACTGTCCTTTTCGTTTTTATTATGTTTCCAGTAAAGGTTTTCAGCTAACTGTCGTATATCAAGTATTTAAAACATCGAATTTGATTGGTTGTTCATTTCACCTGTTTGTTACCGCTTGTTGCAGCTGACGAGTTATAGACCTATATATAACAATACATAACTTTTCTTGTGTTTGAATTTTATTGATACTTTGCATCGTTTGTTCGCCACGTGTTACCATCTGGATGATTAGGTATTCTCCCATCATTCACAGCCATGTATCCCGTTTTAGCCGGGATAGATCAGCTTGTCACCTCCTAGGGTGAGATAGCCACGTGCCGATTAGCACGTGCTTAATCGGAAGTTCGACCGGAACATAGTGCCTAAGCTTTATGTGGCTGTATCGTTTCAATGCAATTATCTCACGATTGATATATATACTACATATATATATTTTGTTGACATCGTGGCGGAAATAATAGGGTGGGAGAATAATAATCATCCCCTACCCTCAGAGGTTGTGACAGAGAAATCTCCCACCCTCGGGTTGATTTTTTGTCAGAGCCTCGGGTCAGACAACAATCATGATATTGATATGGAATATTTTTTCATCTTGATTTTCAAATACGTTCTAAAGGTCTATCTATTAGCCCTAATACATAATTAGAAACATGAACACCACGTGACAACCGCTGGCGACGACGGTTGAATACGATGGTACACATGCGCAATCAGTTTGTGACAACTATTGACTTAATCAGACGTTTACTGGGTGCTGCGTGTCTGCCCAAACAATCGGCAGCTGGTTGAAAGTTTACCAGTTAAAAGGAAGGCGACCCTGCATTGGGTTCGTTTCAAGGAAACGGCATCGCAATAACGTCGGTGGTCCAGAGAGTCCAGAGAATAACGTTCTGCTTGTTGATCAACCATGATTAAGTGACGGAAGTCGGAAACCATCAAGGCGATAGGGAATCTTTGCTAGCGAGATAACACTGGCTGTGGAATTATAATAATTTGATGGTGATATTTGATTCTAACCATATGCCAACTGTTGTGATTGACGAGAGTATTAACCAATATCGTGACAACATGATAAAACCAATGGCGCCATATTGTGCAGTAAAACAAAAAAATAATATGATATTGTTGCGTCAATAACACAGAGAACAACTTAAAGGGAACTCACGGATAATACAATCATCCATTCTATTAACAGTATTAATCAATTTCACCTGAATTTATTGTTTATATTATTTAATTAGACTGTTAATCCTCGAGTGAAAGAGGGGCGGGAGATCATAACAAAATGTTCTCACCGTATTTGTATGGAAGATATTTTAAAGTCATAGGAATCATATATAAAAATATATATATAAAAAATTGCTATATAGCTGTTTGGTTCAAAATGTCAGTTTTGACAGCCACATATGAAACCAAAGTATTGGAACTAGAATTTTGAATCAGAAATGTGTTTAATTTGTATGTCATATAATTGACACAACTGTTGCATGCTTCAATCGTGTTACTAATAGGGAGAGAAGTGGTATTTGTTGTTAATAAAGAAAATTATATTTTTTTATGTGTATTTCTCGACTGCTAGTACATGCAAATGTTTTATCTTTTGGTTTGAAATCATTGGAGTGTTTAAATACATTTTTGATCCGTGTGACATTGATTATAGGTCATGGTTATCGCAATTGTTTGCAGACCTTCTAAGTACTACGAAATGTCTGTAAGTTTCTGGGTAAAGATCATAACCACCAACCAACTTTTTTTTTCAATAAATAGAAAGAAAACTTCATTTTATTAAATATGACCCATTTTTTTCAAGGTAAACCTTTGTTGACCAAAGAAAGCTAGATCAGAAGCAAAGTATCAGAAGACCGTGTTTGAGGGTTTCATATGCATTATAGAAGTCACCTCCTGTGAACTAGGCTATAAGTCCTTGGCATTTCAAAAATTCTGT